CAGTTACATACACAACAGAGCAAAACCACTTGTGCTGGAGCATGGCCAGGCGTTGCAGATAGGAGGACCACAGCATTCAAAGCAGGCTTTGGCCTGGTCCCCGTTAGAAATCTTTGTTCTGTCAGCCAGAAGCAGGAAAAAAAAAAAAGCCAGCTTGGTAGCTAAAAGCCACCCTAGCGCAGGTCCTCACTGAGTCCATCACGGCTGCACGGCGCCAGCGGGCACGGGTCAGGGCGAGGAGGGAGCAGTCTTGGCTGGGAGTTCTGCACATGGTGCCTGGGTCTGAGTGGGGCCAGAAAAGCCAGGTTTTGCCAGCTAAAGGTGTCTCCTCACAAGGAAAGCCAGCTGCTGCTCATCTGCAGTGCCTACCGCCAGCCTCCAACGGGGTGCCCCACGTTGCCTGCCATCCCGAAGGACTATGGGGCTACTTCCCCCTCTCATGACCTGAAACAGGACTGCCGCTGGGGTGGTGGCAGGGGAGAAGAAAGATACAGTCACAGCAGCCCACAACCTGCCCCTGATCTCTAGCATCGCTTGAGTCCACATGCAAAATCCAGGATTTATTTTAAGCCTTCTGCGGGTCTTGATCCAAACACCCTCTGGCCATGGTATGTACTGCTCGTAAATCAGCAGAGCGTGCTTCTGCAATGCCCTTCGAGCACTCGCCTTCGCTGTGCTCTGAAGTAGTCCCCGGGGCTGCCTAAGCCGTGGGGGCAGCAGTAGCAGCTGTACCCGGCACATAACCGGGGAGCAAGCTGCCTGCTGTTGCTCTGCCAGATATGGGGACCTGCCGTGGCTTGGCGACTCTGGCTGCTTTTGTAAAAGTGCTCTTCAGAACTCATACAGAGCAGACCCGTTAACATACACTGTGACTTTCCAAAAGGTTATATGAAAATCCAGGTCCATATATGAAAATAAAACTTCAGCTTGAATCAGCTAATCTCAGGCTCATCCTTTTTTAATTATTTTAGTTTTTGTTACATATGCACAAGAGAAAAACAGGCTTGGAAGCAAACAGATGCGGTTTAAGTACAGCAGCTAACTTGCAAGCTTTTAACGCATTGAGCTTAGCCCAAGACACGCAAAATTGGGTCTTGCCAAATGCCTACATACTTGTGTGCAAAACCACAACTGCCCCAAAGTGTGAGAACTTTTCAGTTCCCCCCAGTTTACCTGAATGACTGCAGCATCTGCACAAGGGGGTTTCCCAATATCAAAGGCTTCTTTCAGGGCTTTCCCTAAAAAAAAAGAAAAAAAAAAAGAACAGTTGAGATACAATGGTGTTCATAATGAGTTAGATTTCCCAGCCTCTCATTATGCATTTGGACTAGATTAATTTCTGCCTCTATTTTTTTTTTTTTTTTTGCCGTCTTGTTTAACCCAAAGCCTGGCTATTTTCCAGCTGACCTAATAACATTGTTCTGTTTTGTTCTACATTGTTTGAGTTTAAATGATTTGCAGCTTCCTTTCATCCCAGTGTCAGCTCGGGTTATCTACAGTCTTCCCTAGTTAGCTTGGCTCAAATGAAGGCACCCACACAGCAAAACAACGCTTAGACACAACGCTGTGCTGCCAGCTACTGTGGCTGAGATTTTCCACCCTTCCTAGCTCCAGCCAGCACCCACATAAACCAGCCAGTGCTAATTAAAAGCATTCCCTCACTTGAGCCAGGGACCTGCGAGTGCAAAGAGGAGTCGGTTTGGTGTTTGGAGCTACTGTCACGGAGAGATGAACCCCATGAGGCTGCGTGATGGGAAATTTCCCAAGACTTGGCTGGCTTGTGTTATGCTGAATGGACAACAAAACTAACAGTGCAGAGAAAGGGCTCATTGCTTGAAACATGATATGACCTTTATAGAAGCTTTAAACTCAAAAGCCTGGCTTGCTTATTTATTCTTTCATTTCTGCATCTTCCTCCAAGGCAATAGAAAGAATGTAAAGTCCAATCTTCCATTTTTGCCTTTGTTCTTTTCTGGCTGATGAATTAGGAAATTTGTGGCTGTCACTGAAGAATTTAATCAAAAGTATATTCAAAACAACTGCTCTGCCATACTCATTGAAAAGTGTTAATCAAAGACAAATAAGCAGTTGTAAACAACCCAAGAAAAATTCCTTTCCTCTCGAGTGCCATCACCTGACTGCGAGCAATTGTGTGAACGCGATGTGCTGAGATAACACATCCCAGCCGAGCTGCACAAACACTTCTAGCCTGCCCCAGTTGCACAGTAAAATGTGTCAGCTTAAGCCAACACAAAGGTCTTGCTCCCAGTGGGACAAAGCATGCAGTCAGTTGGTAACCACAAGGCAATAACGTGTTGAGCCATGGTACTTAGTTGCTTTGGATCAGACGATGTGGCTGAATTAGCATGAGCTTGCCCATTTGTAGCTCTTGTGGGGACACCAGCACCGCAGGCACCAAAGCTCCAACATGCAGAGCACCAGAATTTCTGCTGTAACAAACAGGCCCATAAATAATCTCCAGTTTCCTCCTTGTTCCTCCCTGCCTGACCAAGACGTGGTACCCCATGCTGTAAAAGCTGCAGATCCATGGATGGCCAGCCTGTGCCGACTGCCCAGCTAACCGCTTCCTCTCAGAAAATGCAAGGGGCTGAGTTAAAACTTGTGTCCCTCATCTGTCCAGCTGGTGGTTTACTACATGTGAGAATTTAACATCCTTGAGACCTCTACATCGTAATCAAATGTGGTCAAAATTGCCTAAGAGGCTCAGCATGGGTGGGAGCACACCACTGACATACAGCAGGCGGGGGGGCAGAAAAACTGCACAGCCTTATTCATTTGGGTAGCAGCAGGTCCTTGGCCCAAATTCTCCAAAGCACATGAACTTCCCAGTCCTCTTTTTGTCTACTTGAAAAAATAGAGGGAGAGAGGGAAGAAGACACAGACCCAAGTGATCCATTGCAGGTCAGTCTAAACCCTCCTCAAGTGTTTGTCCAGGTGTGCATGTCCGGTCCTGCCATCTCCGTTTTTGGACAAAGAGACAGTTTTGAGCTGATGCTGCAGAAGCAGGGGACAGAAAGATCATTTTTCACCTCTCAGTATCAGAATGAATCCTGGTGTCATGCTGGAAGGTTTGCCCTGCACTCACATGAAATTCCTCAGTACAGCAAGGCCAGGGGTGATGGATCCCAACCCAGTTGATGGCACCATCATTTCCAGTTCACCAGCCTTGCAACCTCAAAAGGTGCAAAGCCCCCCTGCCCGAGGCATGCCCGGGGTGAGGGAACACCGCTTGCATGCAGAGCTGGCCGAGTTCCCTGCCGTGGTGTTTGGAAGTGATGCTGAACCTCACGCGGCATCCAAGCTCTCAGCACCTTCAGATGGGGTCACAGTTCTCATCGCTCATTTCTGTTTAAAGCGCTTTTAGTTTGCACAGATATCGGGCTGGCATTCCCAGTGACAAGCCAGGTATTCACAGGCAAAGCAGACCATGGCTTATTTTGGTCAGTCTCTTTTCATTTAGAAAATATGTAGTCATCCCTTGAAGTGGCAAAACCCACACCTGTGATTTACAGTCACAATTATGTATTACAATCGCTCAGAGATAATTGACAGGATATTTGCTCAAGAGCAGCATCCTGTATATTTGGGATAATGAAAGGCTGGAGTATCTTGGGAAAAGAAATAGAGGGATAAAGCAGGTTTTATAAGCTATGCCACTGAGCTGAGTGAAGAGACACCCATAATTTTTTCCATATGCAGTCAGCTCATGTCCACTTAAGCTCATTAGCTTGAACCTGGAGCTGGTCCTAAGCTGGCCAGGTTTGAAATGAGCTGAGATGCTGCTGTATCAGACTCTCCAGCAATTCCAGCTCTGTTCTCTGTGTACAGTGCGGCCCCATGGAAAGCTGTGATGCTTCCAGATCCAAGGTGGCATGAAAAAATGCAGCCGACTCAGGGCAGCATGGCACAAGAGCTCGTAACCACTGCCAGCTCTAGGTGAGCCCGCTCAGCACATGGTGTATCAGCAACGCAGAAAGCCCACGGTTAAACAAAAGCTTTCTCCAGCTATTACATTAGAGGGAACTAAAAAAAAAAAAAAGGGTTAAATTCTCCATCCCTGCTAGTCAGCATCTGCGAGGGTTTGCCAATGACTCAGTGACGTGCTCTAAGATAACCCCACCAGCACTACCCCGAGTAAAGTCATTTCCTTCATTGAAAGACATGCTAAAAACAGACCTTAGGAACATGTGGTCTTCCCCAAGGTCATGATTAGAAACAGCCCATAAAGGTGCCTAATGTTAAACACTGAAATCAGTAGGTTTTAAGCATATTGTCACCAGCTGGCACCTCTGCTCCCATGTCTGTGACTACCTTCATGTTCTCCTGCAGGGAATAGGTCTGAAGGAAAACCTCTGCAATTTAGAGTACTTTCCCTGGGGTGATTCAGCAGTTTGCCATGGAATTTCCCCTCTCTCTGCTCCCCAGGGGCTGGTGGAAAGGGAATGCGAGAGAGATGAGTGTGGTAAATCCTGCTGCTGCATTTCAGCTTTAGCTGAATCTAAAAGGCCCAGCTGAGATTTCCAAATAGCATGGTTTGCCCTGGAGTTCCCCGTTGCTACAACGCATCTTCCCTGCATCATTTGTATTCCACGTGCCCAGACAGCGTTCTTCAAAGGGGGAGCTTCGCTGAGAAAAGAAAGAGAACCTGCAGCCCCGGAGCTGAGGTCGCCCGTGGGATCGCAAGGCAGGATGCCCTGCTCCAAACCTATGGCAGGGCTGTGCCGGCTGTGCACCAGCTGCACGGTTGCTTGTGCTGGGCTCTGGAAATAATCTTTGCTATAACCTCAGCAGTGTCAGTCCAGAAGTCTGGAGAGGGCTCTGAGGGTCCATGTACAGACAAATCTGACAGCCTCAATATCTGCACAGCTGAGGCAAAGGGGCTATAAAAAAAAACCCCAGTATTGCACACTGTGGGCTCATTAACAGATAGAGAGAAGATGAACAGCATCTTGAAACAGCCCTCAATAAGGAAGTGGATTTCACCCATAGCCTCCCTTTCCTCCGGATACATTGGCTTCTGAGCAGAGCAGATTGCAGCCCTGTGAAGGCGCAGCAACAGGATGAAGAGAGATTTGCAAATGCCCCAGCACCTCTTTGCTAAGGAGCGAGGACAGGGCAGCATCCCTTTGGCAGAAGACAGTCATGGATCCTCACACCTGGGCTCTGCAATGAAACATGGGCAAGACGGAGACCTTGGGGCTCACACACACCTGAGCAGAGCTGGCTCAGCTAGCAAGGGAGCAGCTAATTTAACAAGGGCATTCCTTATTTTAAAACCGTGGGAATAAAACAGGCAGATTGCTGTAAAGCTCCTGAGTTCTTACCCGGGCAACTGTAAGTAACTTTTCCTCAGTCTTCAAAATAATCCACACGAGACACTGTACACCAAGGGAAGGGCTGTGCTGGGGGTTCTGCCTGGGTCCCAGGCCTGTCTCGCTGCCACTGCGTACAGAAAGAAGAGCTCAGCCAGAGGCCTCTCCCGCTGGTCCGCAGCCCGTCGCCCACCTGGCACCCCCTGCTTGGCACCATGGCCCCGTACCAAGCAGACGGGGTGCCCTGCCAGCACCCAGCAGCGTTTGCAGCGCCAGGGCAGCCGCAACATGGTAGATGATCTTTATTGTGCCCTTTTGCCAGCTATTCCTTTGTGCTGTTTCTTTTCCTTCTTCCAGTATTTGCTGCCCAAATGACACTTTTTGCTCGTCATTTCCCTCTCCCCTTCCCTCAGTCCTGCTGCTGAATTCCTTCTTGGGCTTGGGCAGAGTCACCCAAAGACACTTCCACAGATGCACAATTTTACAAGTGTCACGTATTCTCTCCAAATGGAATAAAAAGCAGCTATATACCAGGACAACTGCATCTACACAGGAGCTTTCATTAAGGCTGTAACTGTATTCAGAGAGGAAAATCCAAATAGTTAAGTCTGTCATCTCTGCTCTCCTAATTTCCACTTTCTTTGCTACTTTCTGACCCTAATACAGTTAGTCTGCTCTTGCTTTTTTTTTTCTTGAAGGAATTCAGCATTTTCACTTACATTTTTTCCTATCTTTGAGCTTTTCATTGTATATTTACATTACACAATTATTCACCTCCAATTTCTTGTAAGTTTTCAATATTTCATCAATCCATTATTCTTATTTAAAACCAAAGATTTACTATTTTAAATCCACAAAAGTTTCAGCAGAAGGGATGCATCCTGGCCACATCTCCCATGTGTCTGAGAATGTGCACCCACACGTACCCACTACCCTGCCTCCCTCCTTTGGGAGCTGGTGAGGGGAAGAGCCCACCCGATGAACCAATGAGCCAATCAAGGGTTTGTAAGTGTAATTAAAACAAGGAACAGAGAAGCTCTAGGCTTGGATGGAAGCAATCAAATAACCCAAAAGGGCTGAAAACTATTAGGACATAAATAGATTGGAGCTATCAAGTAGCAAGGTAACCATGGACACAGAATCAAACACCTCATCTACCACTGTTGTACAAAAAGAAATCACCAGAAAGCTTCAGGCTTTGATGACAACCACAAAAGATCCCAGATGTGTCACTCTTCAGATCATGGGGAAAGCCACATCTGTTTTCCCAAACTTGGGCAGGAATTTAATTATCTGCTATGTGTTTTTCTTGTGATCTGAATGCTAATGCAGGAAATATGGAAACAGCTGGTCAAACGACACGCCAGATAAAGCAGCAAGAGAACCAAAGAGATGACATGAGAAGTCCACCGAGCACAAGGCAAGAGAAAATTATTCTGGAGTAATCAGAGTATTACAGACCTTGCTAAAAAAGGCTTAATGCAAGAAAAGAAATTGTTCAGGAAAGCAGAATGCTGTACATGTCCAACGGGAGCCCAGAGGAGAAATAACCTGCCTACCTCAGGTAAGACCCTGAGCTTGATACCAAGGATTTAGAAAGAAGCAGTACTGCAATGAAAAAAGGGTCTGATTCTCAGAGCACAGAAGATGAAACAGGCAGTGGGCAAGTCCAAACTCAGCACACGTCCTGAGCATCCCTGAGTTAATAGGAAGCAGGGATTGTGCTCAGAACTGAAGAATAGAGACATAGAAAAAATGTGGAGAAAAAGAAGTCCTTCAAACATACCTTCTGTACATTTTAAGGGCCCACTCATACACTAGAAGACATTGGCTGAAGCTGAAATGGTTACTGTCAGTAAGGGTGGAAAGGTGAGAAGACAAAGAGGCATGACAGCAGCGGGTGTAGGTGACGAGCAGTCCTGCTTCCTTGAAGAAACCACTTCTGTGCTCCAGGCTGGGGAGAAAAGTCATTTCCAGCTGACTCAGATGCTGGTTTAGCACAGTCTTGTCTGTGTTAGTAGAGGAACCAAAGCAGGGAATCTGGGCCGTAATGTACTGTATTAGTTTTTCCTCCAGATCTTTCCTCCAGAAGTTTGGACTCCAGGTGGAAACAGACTCTGTCTCTTGGCCACTGCCAAGCCACTCTGCTTCCTTCTTCTTCTCCCACTTCAGTGATTCCGCCACCGACTGCAATGGCTCCAGGAACATCCTACCACTTCCACTGAGCGCTTCTCCCACCACAGTCCACATTCGTTCAGCCAGTAGCATATAAAGTGATTCAGACTTTCCAGCACCATCATTTCCAGAATGCTGCAGATCATAAATACGATCACAAGCTTCAAAAAATTTTCCTTGCTCAATGAATCCGCAGATGGTTTCCTCTGCAATAGAGAGAGCAGCAACACAATGTGATGTTTGTTCACTCATCTATAGGACCCATCACTTTAATATCTGAGTACTGAAGTATGTACTTTACATGTATCCCAAAAATCTTCAGGATCTACTCAAGATCACCTCACTTTAGGTATCGCACCAGCACCTCTCAGTTTCCTCAGGGCAAGTGCTTCCTTTCATCTTTCTTTCGTCCTTTCTCCTCCAGGCTAACTAAGCCTGCAGACTAGTCTGCAGATTTCTGTCATCATCCCAGTAGACCTTCTCTTGCGGGGAATGCAGGTTCATTAATGACAATCTCCCCTTAAGGAAAGTATCTTTCTTCCAGAAGAAAAGCATTAGAGAAAGGACATCTTCTGAAAGAGCCAACAGCTGAAGGTCAAGCTTAGAAGGAATCCTCTGTCTTCTCTACAGAAACCCTGGCAGGACCAAAGTGCTGCAAACTCACTTGTAAGGTTCCTCTCTCCCGTCCACAGCCTGGCACGGCTACGCAGAGGGTCTCACTCCTGCCAGCAAGATCTCATTGTAGACGGAAGCTGCTCAGTGCAGCCCAGGGCCCTCTCTTTGCCAGGGCTTTTTAACTAGGTCAAACAACTACGCATACTATTTTGCCCAAAGGTGAAAATCAGAAGGTGGGCTACCTATCTGCAGTGTCTGAGCAAAGGGAATTCACATAACTCCCCATGACTTCCACGTCTGCAGGAAGCTGTGCTGACTGAGCCATTGCCCTAATCACCAGACATCCTGGCAAAGCAGGTACAAAATCTTTGAAGTTCAGAAGCTGGAAGGAGAAGTTTTTCACCGTTTCTTGCTTCCAAAGTATCTTACCCATCACACCCATCCCACCACTAAGAGTTAAAAATAATCTCACAACAGCTGCACAGAGCTGCGGGGTTTTTCCTGTGCGTTTTACAGATTACAAAATAGAGCAACAAAGGGTTAACAAGATTTGCCCAAAGGTATCCTGAGCAGAACCCAGAGGAAAAATCAGACTTGATGAAAACCCAGGGAAAGTTAAGCAAGGACAGAAGCAATGGGACTCCGAAATCAATTCAGGATACAGCTTTGGGTGTAGAGTGAAGAATGAAAGAGCAGGAGTTTCCATTACCTGTGCCCTAACTTTCCTCTATGAAAACACCCCATCTGTGCAGTAAGCATTAAGTCAAACAGGACTGGAGGGAGGAACATGACACAAAATGGAGAAGGGCTGATGCAAGGATCTTCAGCAAAGCAATGGGCAATCTGCTCAGGAAGGGTCTAGCAAGCGGCACTCGTCCTGCCTCAATGCACGCAACACGTCGGAAACCTTTACCTGGTACGGTCAGCCCATATACAACCCACCGCCCCCTCCCCGTCGGTGGAAGAACAGCACGGTCACACCTGACAGGGTGTCAGTCACACGTACATCGTCTTTCTCACAAGATGCATCAGGAGTCTTTGCAGGGATAAAAATAAGATCAGCAAAGAGAAATACCCGTGAGGCAAAGGGAAAGTAAAATACAGAAGTTTCCAGACGAGCAAGTGTACAGTTCAGAAAGGACAAGATCTTGGGTGAAGGATGGGGCAGGGGAAAGTGTAAAGCACCTACTGCAGCAGCGAACGAAAGCAAGAGCCTGCAGGGCTGGGAGAGGCAGAGACAGTCCAGGACTGGTTACCTGCAGGCATTTCTCCCTCCGCCTCCGTCCCACTGGTTGCCATCTTCAGCAGATTCCCTGCCACATCCTCACTGCCAGCCTGCCCCTCCGCTGCCTCTTTCCCACCAGCCACGGCCTTTAGCAATTTGCCTGCCATGGTTTTCAGTTTCCCTCTCCTCTTCGCTTCCTGCTTCTTCCTCTCCTCACGCGTGGCCTTGGGCAACATCCTTGCGTTTTCCCCAGCCATTTTCTCCCACTTGCCGCCTCTTCCCACGAAGACTCCCCAGGAATACTTCATCTTCCTCATAATCCCAGCAGATCCAGATGCTTTCTGCCCCACTGAGAATACTATCAGAAAAAAAAAAAAAGGTTAGAAAAACTTCTATGCAAGGTGATCTTAGCGGCTGTCTTCCAGAGAAGACGTTTCTCCCTAGATTTACCTTTTTTCCACGAGGCTACAGGCTTCAGCTGCCTTCGAAGAAGTCTAACCTGGTTCCTGCCCATGCCGAGTGATGACATTTTTATAGGCTGCCAGCCCTCTTATGTAATCTCTCTCTCTTCCAGGAAAATAATGTAAAAAACCTCATACACAACCTAACCACAAGCACTGGGGGAAAGCCAACGGGATTTTCGGCATTTTCTAAATGACTAAAACATCCCTGCGTGCTGCCAGTTATGTCGATGGCAATCCTATCAGTTTAAGGGAGTTGATTATTAATAGTTTCTATAAAGCATACATCACTTTCCACCCACCCCACACACCCTGGCTACACCTGAGTTCTTCTTTGGCAAGGAGATCACGCCTGGCCTTGGAGCCAAATTCCTCCCCACCTCCCAGCAAGCCTCATGTCAGCCGACAGGGAAGCAGAGCCCTGGAGAGAGGGCGCTGGTTTTCATGTTTTAGCAGCACCATTCAGAGGAGACAAGAGCGATCTCAGCCTTCTGGATTGTGCAATTTTCCGGCAACTATATACACTGCTATATATTATTTTGTATTTATATACACAGCCGTATATATAAAGGGCATAAGGTTGCAGCAATGCGCCACAAATGCGTGCGTCTGTGTCCATATGTGTATGCACACGTATGCGTGTGTGTCCATATGTGTATGCACACGTATAAGTCTACTCCCCAGCCAACGCCTGCAGTGAAGAGAAAGGAGATGCATGCCCCCTTAGTGCGAGAACCGTGCTGGCAGGTCTGGGGCTGCTAGAGGTTCTGACCATAAACCTCAGAACAAATTCCTATACAGAAAGTATCCTTTAACTCCAGGAGCTCATGTTTACAATAGATTTTTAAAACTTCCCTGCACTGCTGTGAGAAAGACACTACGCTTGGAGATAAGCTGAAATGCTGTCCTTGCCACGCTCTCTTTGCTAGATAGTTACAAACTGGTTTTTATTTCTCCTTCCTGTTATAATAAAAAAGAAATCAAGAATTCGAGGATTTCCATCAGCGGAGGACAGTCTTGTGTTAGCAATTACAAGCTGTATTGATTAAAAGCATACACTGTTCAAGAATGATTTTGGGGGGTATGAATTTAAGGGGCAATTTTTCCATGCAGCATCTAGGTTATTCCAAATACATGCATTCATCTTTCTGGGTTTAACGCCTGCAGTTTCTTCCAAGATTTTCTACATTTTCATGACAGTAAAATTCCACTAGTTCCCACTTGGAAACCAAGTAAATGTTATGTTGTTCTAGCTCTTTTACCCAGTGCTTAATTCCACCAGCATGTTATCACAGAGCCATTTGATTCATTAGTAACGATAGGGAGGAGGAAATAAATACATTTCGTTTGGAAGGACAAACAGAAATTCCAGCAGCGGTCATACACTTGAGCTGTTGCCAGTAGGAAATACTGAGGTTGCAAAATACAGTGTTTTCCCAGGTTGTGAAAAAAGTTGAAAATTGAGAGGCTCTAGGTTCCATTTTGACCTTAATTTTTAATTGGCTAAAATTAAAATGTTTCCTTTGGAATATTAGAGCTGCACTATATATGAATACAAGACGGAGTGAGAGGGTTAGTACTGAAGAGATGCATTCCAGGCATGCTGAAACCCTTCAGCAATATTTTCCCATGAAAATTCCAACACAATGTGTTTATGTTTCACTTCATCAGCATTTTTCCAACACGCCTGGCTCTGACAAAAATCATTTCCCCAGACTTCTCTGTGGAAGGAAACTGGATGTCAAAGTGCCAGTCCTGCAGGCAAGATTCTCTGCAGTATACAGATTTTGAACACAGTACAACTGCAGACCGTGCCCTGAACTGGGGCAACATGATGCATGGGAATTGCTGTATTTTCCCAGAAAGCTTCTTTCAAGGGAATACAATACAAGGCTGTGAAAAGCAGGGAGTGACTGGGCAGAGATGGATTGACTTCCCGAGGCTAGGACCATCTCTTGCTCCGTGGTCCACTCGATCCACTCAATCAAAGCCATAGTAGGCACTCCCCAAGATGAGCGTGCCCCCAGGGACACCCCATCTGAGCACCACAGCACCAACAACCCAGATCTCATCTGTCCTACCTTTAACTGGTTTACGAACCAGGGGCGATGTGTGTGTGTAGGCAAAGCAGGCAGCTGCCTGGGGAATCAGGCAGCTACGAGCACCCTGCGAAGGGGCAGCAAGTTGGGGATGGCCTTTCTGACTGTGGGCACTGAGCATGAGGTGTTGCCCCAACCTTCCTGCTGCCGCGGGAGGTGGAATCCATCGCCACCCACTCTGCGTACCTCTGCCCACAACTGCCTTCCAAAGGCAAGGGTTGAAGGATGGTGTCACTGAGGGGGAATGCACTGTACCAGGAGAGGACATGCCACAGAGGAGCTGCCAAGAGGCCACCAGCAGCCTGCTCTTCTGGGTCTATGTGCACATGCAGGGTGCTCTAATATCTGTTGTACTGTCTCTAATGCTATTGTACTGCTCAGGCTAAAGTTCTGCTGCTAAAACACATGGGGATGATTTAAATCTCTAGGAACATCTTCTGCCGCAGTGCTTCCATGAATGGTTTTATGCCGAGACAAGCAAAGTCCCCAAGGAAGCTACACCTTTACAGCAGAGGAGCTGAAGAGTGTCAAGATCAAACGAGAATAAAGGTCTTTCACCAAGCATTAACATAACGCAAAGGGGCTGTTTGCTGTCCAAACCCATCATTTTGGTCAGGGAAATCGGGGCACTGCTACATTTCACCTGCCCCTTCCGTGGGCTCCTGAGGTGCCCTCCCAAGGGAAGCCCTTCCAAGCAGAAAGAAGGGCGGTAGGAAACCACAAGGACGCTGTGCCATAACAAGCACCATTCTGCTTCTGAACAACCTCCTTTGTCAGGTGTGCCGAATGACCTTCTTCTTCCTCAAAAGCCACTTCTTGGAAGCCTGCCCCCGCCCCCTCCTTCTTCCTGGCATTTCAATGCCTCTATTTATCCACAGTGTGATGTTCTCAGGGGGGTCATTCTCCTTACCACCCTGACCCTTGCTGTGCTCACTGCAAAAGAGGAGCAATTTGTCATCTGGGAACATCCCCAGCGTTCAGGAGTTTCCCCCGTTGCCTGGAGCTCCTGGAAAAGCCCACAGCCTCCCCACATCACTGAGACTCTGTCTTTCTATCTCGGAAAAACTGTAACTCCTTTGTCTTTGGGATCTTTCACTAAACAAGCAAATACCTCGGATAAATTGTTATATTGTTTCTCTGTTGACATAGCTCTTTATCTTGCTGCTTCCCATTTCTTTTGCCTAGATAGATAAAATCTCTTCATAATAAGTGGATTGTGTGCCTGACGTGAACAATAGCTGTTTGGTCTGGATGCTAATCGGGATGAAGTCACACTATTAGCACTTCAAATGAAATGACTTTGCAAGAGTCCAATTACATTAATATTCCAATTCCAGCAATGCAGCAATGCCCCTGCTTGCTTTGCAGGGACTCCACAAGAACACAGTCAGGCATATACAATGGAAACTTTGTGCTCAGTAGCATCTGTTATATGAAATACACTTGAGTCCTAACAGGCAGGCTGGATCTGCAGTGTCTGGAGAGAGAGAGCTGGGGTTTTTTCACCTCCTTCTTTGTTTCCAGAACACGCTGGTACTCTCCACCACTTTGCACCAAAGGCATGAAAGATGGCAAAAAGGAATATTAATTATGATGATAAAACATGCAGAGTACGGCACGGAAACATAGTGGTTCCCTAGGATATAAATCCCTGCAAAAGCACTTTGTGAAGCTGTGCTGTAGCCTGACAATGTGTTCCTGCACCCACACGCAGCATCTTTGATTTCATCAGCAATCAAAGAACAGCCAGTCTGCATTAGAAGCGAGGTAGCTTTTTGGAGAGAGAGAAAACAAACAAACCAAAAATACCTTCCCCTCCAGTTTGACATTGCAGCTGACATTGCCATCATGATCTTATGCAGGAGGTGACTTTGTTAATCGTGCAAAATTAGCTGTTTATCATTCTGTGGAAAGCATATATTTATTCTTATTTCCTAAGGATAACCCCATTTCCTAAAGAAATGAGACAACGCAGCCGCAGGTTGCATGCATCTCTCTGTTCGTTTGATCCCCTGCCCTAATGCAGTTGCGTGGGTTTTAATTCAGTTTTAACCAATTTTAAAGGTAGTTTTGACCAAACTGACAGAGGGTGGCTGGCACAAAATAACACAGGCTTACACACTGCATGAAAATACATGGCTGAGAAGAGAGGACAGACCATCACTGCTCCTGCTGAGGAACAAAACACGGCACGAACCCCAGGCATCAGAGACTCCACCTGGCAGCTGAGTCTGGAGGTACACAGATATGGCTTCCTTGCCTCTCTTGCTCACCAAATCTCCTGTTTACTCTCCAGCCAACCCGTGTGTCTGCAAGAGTAAATAAAGCAGCACAAATATTTAATACAAGCAACCTTTCCCATAGCAACAGCTGAAACGAAGCTGCTCCCCTACAGTGCCTCCTCACCCCAGGCTGCACCCCCTCGCCTCCCCGAGATCTGTTACCCCAAACTGGCCAAAGAGCTGCCAGTTTGGAGCTAATTTGGAGCTGCTGCTGCTGCTGCCCAGTAACCACAGCTGGAGCAAAAGGGAAAGAAGTTGTTTCTTCCTTTCTCTTACTGAGTGCATTTCCTTGAGTAGCTCTTCTCCACTCAGCCGCTGATTTTCATCCAGTTTTGCAGAAGTTAATCTGAGACCTCTGTCCTGCTCCGGATTTGTCTGAAACAGGAGGAATTCACTTTATGAGGAGGGCACAGACAGATGGATCAAGAGACAGATAGACAGATACGCTGCATGCTCCCACCAGTTTCAGAAACCACACTAAAGTCCTAGGAATAAGTTCCCCAAAGAACTGAATGC